ACTAATGTTACTTGGAATTTGCATTCTTTGCTCCTCTTGACTTTCTTCGCCCTTCTCTCTCTTGTACCTGTTCTGTATAAGCGTTATAAAACCAAACAAGATTGAAAGCCAACTTCTCGTTGTAATGATCACTTTCAAGTCACTCTCACGTGTCAAACGATTATCTATGTATTATATTTATTAATAAATATGTTGTTCAGACCGAGCGGATGCCAATCGCTCAACGGGCGCCCCGATATGCATATTCGTTCGATGCGCTATGTCGCCCGACGTGGTTTGACCAGTTTGAGCAGCAATAATCGTGACTTGAAACAGCGTAACAGGTAGCTTTTATGTTTTCCAAAATTCATTAAAATCTTTCAGAGAAAGCAGGATTATTCTTACATAAAGATGAGAGAGAAAAGTAAATTGGAACAGAGAAGCAAAAGCCAAAAACGTTGTTCGCTTCGCCCATTAGGCTGCTTCCGTTCGACGCGATCGATGCAGTCGAAAATGTGCGCATCGATCGCGTCGAACGCGCGACCGAAGCGCTGCTGTCGCGAAGTCTGAACGCTGCCTTAGGGCAGTCGAACCATCTTTTAAGGTCAACCACTCGAGGCATCTCAGCGATTAGGGGCTGACGCCTGTGTAGAGCCGCAGAAGCGCCCTAGACGTTTTTGTCATGACATGTCGCGACTTCATTCGATGTGGAGACGCATGACGTATCTAACGGCTAACATGACAAATCAGTGATAGGAAAACTACGTTACGAAATGCTATTCTCTACGCCATTTCTTCGGTTGGAAGATATTTAGTATTGGGGATCGGGTTTTCCCGCCCGAGCGCTTCGGTGCGTGTAAACCTGATTTTTCATGCATCTCGTGAATGAGATTCACCTGAATCGCAGTTGATCGCAGTTTTGTCCCTCTTCCCATGCAGTAAGACGTGCCATGACCCAACACTTTGGCATGGGGACCCATGTTGGACTGCCATCTAAACGTGTTTGACATCTTTGTACTTTCTAAATTATCGAAGTAAATATCGCTGTAAACTAATCATTCAGGAACGCGTTATTTGAATATGTGGTTCACTTGGTTCAAGTGTGTGAAGTTTCACCTACTCAAAAGACTGAATACACTCTTCTGCTGAGAATGTTTTCCGGAATCGTAATGCCATGTTGGGTGTCCATGTCGCTTTTATTCTGCCTCGCAGCGTTACAACGACGCGCCAACAATCTGTAGCCAGTATCACAATTAGAAGTGCAGCTCGACGAGGAGCCATTTGATCTGAGAGAGAAAGTAGCTCTTGAATTCGTCTTCAGACTTAGCGAATGTAGAGGACCCATGATCCGTGTCCGGTCAGTACATTAAAAGAAGAAGAACGGGCACTGAGGCTTAGTGGAGTCGGATGACCCATACCCGACTTTTCGCAGAAACAGCGGTTAAGCAGAATCGACACTGGTCGGTTTCCACTTACTCGTTTGTCACTGATTCTCTCAAAAAGCGCGAATTACGGACTATTCAGATCGATGCGTATACTTTTTTGCGCATACTCTGGAGTTGGCCAAGGCCGCGGATTCTACGCATTGCCAAGTTATGAGCGCAAGCTAAGTGTTGTGTATTCGGAAGTGAACATAGCGTATTTTTGTTGATTTGCTCGCATAACTGTGCTCAGTGGCAGAGGTTTGTTGAAAACCGTGCCGGAGTGAAGGCTGTTGTCTTTTTCGTAGTGTTACTGTTGCTGTAGCAACGGAAAACACTGCGGACAATGATGTTTTGTACCTTAGTACTTCAATACAGCCGTCTTTCTCCGAAACTGTTGTCTAGCGAATGGACTGCCACATTTTTTTTCGGTTGCTTTGGAACCATGGAACTGTTTCCATTTTTTGATCACATTAACCTACAGCAATATATTGGATTGTCAAGGTATACTTGAGACTAAAACCCATTTTTGTTAGAAACCATAGCTCATTGAAGGAACAACTTCATTCCCTGGTTTATCCTCCACAATGTATCAACGAATATTCTTCATCCAGTGCCAGAAGAGTTCGGCTTGAACCACCCACATGTAAAAATAGAAAAGACAAATAGTTAGGATCATGTTGAATCTGTCAGGAAACTTTCATATGATGTCCCAATTAATCTGAAATCTCCTATATTGCTTTGGTTGGGAAACTATCCTTTTTCAGTACTCATATGATATCGTAGTCGGAGGCGTGCCGTAATTTGCGCGAAAAGCACGTTACTGTCTACCGCTCGTTTTGGAGCGTAATGGTGCGGCGTATCTCATGCTGCGCCTACGGTCATCCACGCCAAATCGGGGGAATATAAGGTTCTCGCAATTGATAGTTTAAATAATGCTGTTGAGGTTGGCTCGGCTGGCGCGCTAGTGGTTCTTTCTAATGGTTGCTTATTATTGGGGAAATGCAAGTTAAAATTTTGGTCGAGCTACCCTAACCGGAACGCAGATGGTGTAACATATTTTGGCACTTCGGTGACAGAATGATCGCGCCAAACGCCATACACCCTGTCTAGTCATGACTCCAGAAAACGATAGGGCGTGTGAGAGGGCGTGAGTTGGTTCGCAGTGAGAACAGCTTTCCCGCCAATTGTGGTGGGCTGGATGTCATCACTGATCGAGATGCCGCCTTGGCAGCGCTCCACTTCGTCCAGATGGTTTTTAGGGATTATAACAGCACAATCGTGCTCATATCGTTTGTTGCCTTGTGAAGCAAGCACCTTATTTGGAATATACTCCATTTGAAACTGAAAGGAAGGAAATTTGAGAATTAATATGAATTGAGAACCGGGTGCCAGCAGATTTTGTGCATATATAATCTCCGTGCAGGCTTCTACAACGGCATGTCGCACTTAGCATCCAGGCGGAACGGCAATTTATTGTTGGAGTAGCGCGCCATTTACTGAAGCTTCGCTACCTCGTAGCTACTGGAGTAATTGGAGGCAGTGTAGCTGCGAGAAATGTGAGTATTCCCTGATTCTGAATTGTGCGCTTGTTACGCCCTGCAAAATCACCTGTTTCACATTTACAGTGGTACGATGACTGGAAAGCGAGCTTGCCAGATTTTACATTACCGGAATGGGCTCACGTTGACACCAAAGCCATATGGCAAGACTTGTCCGAACAACTATCCCACATGAAGAAGAGTTTTGGCGGAGAAGGTTCTGAATCAAAGCTCGCAGAATGGGCAGCCCGTTTTGAAAATTTCCGAAGAGATAGAGGTAAAATTATCTCCCCAAACATATTTATGTGTATTTTCATGTGAACAGCGCAATATTTTGCAGGATCGCGTTCTTCCGAAGAAGGAAGTAATTCTGATGAAGGCGCAAAACCTGTAAAAGGTATAGATTGCCTATAAATATCTGCCATGTCTTCTTTTTTGAAGCTGTCTCTGTTGCCAAGCAAAACTCCCGGTTCTTCCAGAAGCAACACTTCTCTCGCTCATGGCAGCTTTTGGAGCAAAGAAAGACGACGAGAAAGAAACTAAGGAGAGTCCCGACGAACGTATTCAGCGGTTGCAAGAAGAAATGTTGAGAACACAGGTGCGTTCAGTTCATCTTTCACAGGAAACATTGCGCCATTACATTCCTATGGACATTGGGGCCCAAATATAAGTTTGTAGATGCTATTAGGTCATCCCATTCAAAAGTGCCGCTACATATAGAGGAATGGCAGAAAAGCAAAGGGGATAGAGCAGCGGGCTACTATACCATTTGGAAGCTAGTACCTTAAGCTGTGTATCTGTGAAATTTGGCGAACCTAGCCCCAGAAGAAGTTCTCGAGAAATTGAAAAGAAGCCCGAGTGGTGAAAATCGGCGCCGGTTTTTCAAATCAGACGTCATAAGAGGAAAGTGCGCTGCTCAAATTTGACCTGCGCCGGACCATAGTTGTGTGTAAGGGTGTTCTCGAAATACACGGTGGAAGATTTGGTTCAGGAGCCCGTACAAGGAAGAAAGGAAAAAATTTGTTGTCGTGGATGGTCCCATAATATTCATCCTGCACAAGAAAAACGGGTGGATGAAGTCAGGCACTGAATATCTGATCACAGA